GTAGTCTTTTGCTAGAAAATACATCATATAAATAAATAAGGCTGGTAATACCCAATTATAATGATTTCCAATACATGCCACTATATATGAGACAACAGTATCTGGAATTGAGGTTCATGCTGGCATACAAATAATCATTATTTTGTAAAATAACGTTGTCTATTTTTCGGTGGGAGGTAATGCGGTTCGGTAACTAATCATTTCTTGTTTTAACCTAATTAGATGAGGTACACTGTATGAGAAGTAGTCATTGCTGGTTAAATGAACCCTGATGTTTGAGGAAGGATTACATATAAAGGTCAGTACACACCTTTCCTCAGGTTCAGTTCAAGTGAAAAAAAACAAGTGGAAATATCGCTCTTTCAAACAGAACTAGACGAATACACTCCAATTGTTAAACACAAAAATAAAGTTCTCCCTCAAATAGATAAGGAGACATCAAGAAGACAAACAGGGATTGTGAATTAGTGATCATGCAGAAGGAATACTGGTAATAAGTGAGCTTCATTTCATTGAGGATAGTAATAATGAAGTTGCATAATCAAAAACATTTAAAGAATATTATCTAGCTTCAGAAGGTTTTAGTTGAGATTATAGTGTGACTCGATTGATGTATCTCAAAATGAAACAAGGCTGCACTTCATTTTGGCTGGTGTTTGGATTTTAACAACAATCAATGCAAATCACGACACTGTCTCCAACCAGAGGCTAACTGGTGGATAATGACCCACGGTGGAATCCAGGATGTGCATTTCGTCCTGTTTGCGACTTGTCACTCAATGTACCCGCATTCCGCAGTGAGTAATGATGTTCCCACCGAGACTCAAACCCAATGGCCATATTTTCAAACGCCATAGCTTTATACACTAGACTACTTAGGCTATGAGAGCCACCCGTTGTTCAACCCGTTTATTATTTAATTAAATTTTACTTTTTCCCGTGTATTGATCGGGTCGAAGTGCTCCGTCTCAGGTTGACATGTCAGCTTCTTGTGCAGATAGGATGAGATGCGCATCCTGGATTCCTCTGCTAGTCGCCATCCACCAATTCACCTTTAATTACATGCTCAGACATTTTCGAATCATCTGCACCAGAAGTTAACATGTTTACATCAGACCGAAAACTTCGGTTCAGTCAATCGACTGGTTGCTACTATTTAACAAGTTATACATCAATTAAATGTAGAGTGATTTACATGCGGTGATACTTAGCGTTTTTTAAAGCTATTAGCCTGAAAAGAAAATAGTCACATTTCCATAAAAAAACAATGTAATATATTCTTACAGTTCCTGTAAAAAGATAATATTGAATGCATTGTTGTAAGCGTATCCAGAGGGAACGTGCATCACAATGAGCATTTTAAAAAGACCACTTTAGACTTAGATCAACAACTGTCCTTACAGGCTCTATACTGGCCTATGACATGGCCATAGTGATATTAGCAACAACGATCCAATCAAGAACCTACTGCCTAAGAAATACACAGAAAGATGTGGACACAAGCTGACGAAACGTGACAAAAGTGTCATCATTCGCTCAAGTGGAATTCGAATGCGAAACAACTGGTTGTGCATTGATCCGTGATCATGTTCGAAAAAGATAATCGATTTGAACAATCGTGGAGCTAGCTAATTAGGACTGTTGAAACCCGGATGTTCCTCTGTACACCAAAGTGATTATTGATAGCATTTATAGTAACGAAAACTCCTCGTAAGATTACTCCCTGCTGTTGTGGAATTTCTTTAAAAGCAGTACTTGTCCAGATCTAACTATACTTTGCTAAAGAGACCTAAATTACGATATTTAAGCCACATTTGGTTGTTCACAGGGCCTCTCAAATGAATCAGAATTTAATAACTTGAGAATTCTACAATCCAATAACACACAAAAGGAAATGCATACAAACACTATTCAGTGCGTCGGTGGAACAGCGGTTAAGACGCTCGCCGACCACGCAAATGGCCCGGGGTTCGATCCCCGGTCGACGCACTCCTTTACCTCGCAAAACCAGAAATAATGCTAGTAAAAGGGAAACGTTAGGCATGAGGCTAGCAGCCCGATCCTGTCAAATTAAACGCTGTTACAGAAACTTCAAGCCACTAGCTTGAGGCCCTATATTCCACTGGGAACGTGAAGTAAATAAAAAAACTATTCATGGGGTCCAGGACTCATTTAAGCACCTATACTTCTAGGAAAACTGAAGAAAGATATCTCATGGACATCTTCCAAAAGAATGAATATCCACTAAATTTAATCAAAAGACATATATCCCCAAGCCAACCTAACAAATCAAAAGCCCTCCGAAGAAAGCACAAAGAAAATCGCCCTACCATATGTAAAGGACATCTTAGAAATCACTGCAAGACTCTTCAAACCTTTGAGAATTGGAATCGCACACAAACCGAAAAAATCACTTCACTCAGCTGTATTTCAACCAAAAGACTCAACAAAGAAAGAAGACAAGACCAATATCATCTACAAACTAAATTGTAGCAACTGCGAAAAACACTACATTGACCAAAGTGGACGTCGCCTTCGTCCTCGTACGCATGAACATGAGCTAGCCATCAAAAGACATGACATTCATTGCGTTTGATAATCATGGATATCAATACGACTGGGACAACCGAAGTTCACATATATTAGAGAGAGGAAACACCAAGGATGCTAGAGGATTTTTAAAAGGCTGTTATTCCAAAGTTCAAGTCAAATAAACAATCAGTTCAAATACAAGATTCTTGGAGGCTGTAAAAACACACGAAAACAACCAAAGAGTCAAGTAAAACGTCACCCACCGGGGGAAAAGTCTAATAAACTCGTAGAGAAATCTAAAAGTATGCGATTAAAGAAGACGTTTCTCTAGTAAGACAATTAAAGCTTCGCGAACAAAGTATCCAGCTCAGAGGACATAAGTACATCAAAATTATCCAGCAGAGATAGAAATCTTTTCCCTCATACCTAAAACTAAGTAATCAGCATTATTATCTCAATCCTTGTTTATTTCGACGGCATTATTTACCGTAGGTTGAAATAAGCAGAAACATACTGAAAAAGGTCAAATACCGACTGAAGAATTTAGTACACAAGATGACATTTACGATGAATAATTCCCCCTTAACTTCATACACGTTTTGTGAACTGACATTTTTGCAGTAACACTAGTAAATAGCATTTTGTAAAATCAATATTATTCATTCGAGAAATAGTTTAAGCATGAAGATTTCAGCATATTATTCAGAGGTCAGTCGAATAGCTTACATTCGAACCTAGTTCCATAAGAAAGAGTCTGTTAGCCCCACTTTATTGCCCAGACTGAATAAGGTTACCACCTGATAGGCATCTGAGGTGAATGTTTTTCGGCCAATATGTTTGGCATCTCTTAGTCTTCGATGATATTTCAGACGCCTCAGTGATATCCGCAGACTGGGATACTGTCGTCTTAGTGGACAATGGATAGCAGTGGGATCCAGAACACGTGTTTTTATGGATTTTAATTTGTTTAATTCCACATAGCAACTTGATATGAAAGTTTGAAGGTACGAATATAGATTATTACAAGGGGCTTAGAGACAAGATTGCATAGGATTAGAAAACAGCTACAACGCATGCAAAAAAAATAATATTTGATAACTGGAGAATTAATTTTAAAGGTGAATAAAAGGTGATAATTGTTTTAAACTTGATATGGTTTTTATGAGAGGCTTTTAGACGCAGGGATACAACGAATTACAGGTGTGAACAAAATGAGCATGGAAACAAATTGACACCAAAATGTTCTCCTTGAAATGTAAGTTAGGAGGTGTGAATATAGATTATAAGAGGCATAGAAACAAAAAAGCTACACAGGACTAGAATATAACTGTAAAACGGTTAATCTAACCGGATTACAAGTGTGATCAGGAGGAGCAAGGCAACAAACTTAAAATAACTGTTTTTTATAACTGAAAATTTGAAATCATAATTTGAGCTTGAAATGAAAGTTAGGAGGTGTGAATAAAGATTACAAGAGCCTTAGAAACACAAAAATTGCAAAGGATTAAGATATAATTGTAAAATAGTTATTTTAAACAAATTATAAACGAATCACACCTCCTAACCTACAAGCAATCAAGCTGTAATCAAAAATAAAAAACAAAAATAAAAAAAAATAAAAATTTCAAGTTGAAAATTTTGATTTCAGTTTGTTTCCATGCTCATTTTGTTCACACCTGTGATTCGTTTTATTTTTGCGTTTCTAAGCCTCTTGTAATTCATATCAAGTTGAAAATAATTATCGCCTTTTATTCGACTTAAATATCATTTCTCCAGTTATCAAATTTTAATTTTGCATACGTTGTAACTATTTTCTAATCCTATGCAATCCTGTCTCTAAGCCCCTAGTAATCTATATATTCGTACCTTCAAACTTATATTGAATTTATACCTTAACGGATCAATTTTGCCACCGCCAAAGTCAAACCGTTAATTTTAGATGCTATATTCGAGTTTTGATCGGTAGACCGCAGTCCACTGGGAATACTGAATGACTTGCTAAGTTTTAGTGCATACGTTTTCGTTGAAGTGCGGCATTTTGAGTCGTAACACATTATGCACGACAAAAAGAAAGACAAAAGAGGTGAACAAATAACGATCCAAAAGAATGATTACAGATAGAAGTGCAAGGGTAAATGGATTGTAGTAACATAAAGAAACTTGATGGTTTAATTGGATATAACGCATGACAAACACAGAAAGCGTCTGAGTTATTGAAATGTGCTATTTCCAATTAATATCATTCGTTGTCTTCACTAGAAAGAACCTAACTATGAAGATTATATAGATTGATATCACATTGTGGTTTGAGCACCACTAGCTCTTCGGATACACCTACATTTGATCGACGTGAGCGTCAGTGCTATGCAACCACACTTCGTTAGCGGCAGAATACGTCAATTCCTTTAAACATATTAATTAGAACAGATCGATAAAATAAAAGCAATAGTAATAGTTACAAAACTTACCTTCCGTTTAGCTCTAGTCAACTTTTGATCTCTAGCACTATCACGTTCCCCTGGAGTTTTTAAACGATTCACACGAAGTGCTATAGCTGTATATGTTCCACAGATAACGCCTAACGGTAAAAAATATTGTAGAATCATAAGGAGTATTGTGTAAACCACATCCACCTTTATAGTGATTACTTGTTGAAATAACTTGATAGATATTTCATTTTTATTTGGTTCATAATCTGTAAAATTATTCCCCGTCGTTTGTTGTATTGTCGCCAGGAGGAGACTCCAATCTTCTTGACAAAAAGTTTTATTCTCTCTCTCCATTATCCGATTAACAATTGGTACAGGCAATGGGATGATTAACGCTAAAATCCATACACCGAAAAGTAGGCAAACAGCTTTACGATGCGTCATTCTAGGACGTAGAGGGAAGAACACGAGAATAAATCGATCCCATGAGATTAATACATGCGTCAATGCACTGACAAATACACTGACACCTTGTGCATAAGGGACAATTTTACACAATGGTTCACCAAGTGGCCAGGATAGATAGATAATTTCAGTGAAAACATACACTGGTATACATAACACTGCCATTAGGATGTCTGCAAGACTCAAATTGAATAAAAATAGACTTGTTATACTGGTGCTACGCATTCCACTCTTCGAAGAGGTCGAAGAAGATGTGTAATTCGCTTGTAATTTACCATAATTACTTACTAGACTTCCACGTTTATCCGCGGTGGGGAATGTAGGGAAATGCGTTGTCACTGTAAGAGAACCAGCATAATTTCGAGTGATTGGTGGTTGTTGATGTTGGTGTGGTAGTTGTTGGTGTTGATGGTGGTGGTGGTGCTGCGGCTGCTCGGATTTCTGTGTTGACTTGAAAACAACATATCGAGGTGTATTCTGGACTATACAGGTTTTACCACAACTACATTCATGCTGACTACTTGGACATTCTTCAACCCATGGATCAATATTATTATGATTATCATTATGAACAATATTAATATTGTTATTATTATTATAATTAATATTATTACTGTTAAAAGATCTTATGAACGTGGAACTTTTATTACGTCCTAACAATGTTCGTAGACATTTGAAGGTGGTACAATAACGAAAACGTAATAAAATGCAGACCACTGTATTCCCAAGGACGGCTAAAATAATCACAGTGACAAAAATGATCACAAGAAAGGTGACTTCCCCTTCTGTAAAGAAAAATGGTGCTGGATAATCAATGAGAATATGATTTAACTCATCCATAACATTACATATAGACAAAAAAAGGCGGTTCGAGAAATATCAATCAATAATTAATTGTCCACTACAGTGGTTCGATTCGAACACAAGTTTTATGATGATATAACTGTTTCGATTATGTAAGAGTGAATTTTATGGTTAATGAAAAGAAATACTGATAATGATAGCCATAGGAGTGATAGGCATTTTTTGATATTGTTATTCCTTATAATGAAATCATCTGATTGGTTGTTTCGACTGAGGAAAAATTTCCCATTGGTTGACCAATCAGAATTTTACTACAAAGTTGACTGTTACTGTTTCAATTTGGATAACAGATTGAGAGAATTAAGACGTACTGAATAGCTCTTTTTTCCTAGTTGAAGACTCTCTCTATCATATCTAAAATTCATCACATGCCCACCAATAGCTGGCTAAAGCGCGTGGTTGCCTGGAGTTCTAGTCTTTTTTTTGTTTGATTACAGCTTGATTCCACACTGTATTTTTGGTACAAGTATAGAATTTGCAGCATGGATATCGGTAGCCTAAATTTTGCAGGCCGACCACAGATATCAGGTGTGAGTTGGCAGGGGATCGAACCTCGGACCATGTGCGCATGGTCGGCAAGAGTCCTAACTACTGTGCCACGGACGCACGGAGTTTTATGACTTATGGGTTCTAACAGGTTATGTGTGAGGACTAATTTTTGCTGGAGACGTTCGCTCACAATGGAGCTACAGACATAGGCTATCAGATTTCAGTGTTTCATAATTCACAAAAGTTTTCTTTGTGAACTAAATACATTCCGATTACAGGATATGATAATGAGCAAAGTTTATTTTGATTAAGTCTCACAGTGTTTGTTATACAGTTATAATATTTACTGATGACCAGGTTTTGAGAACAATTTATGTCTATTGTTCATAATAATATCAAGACACTACTCAGACAACTTTCTAACTTCTTTTACATAATTCCATTATTTTCCATCGCTTGATTTGATAGGTAGTAGTATTTTCCATATTTCCGGTATGAGTGAACAGTCATTTCTATTGCACGTATCGGGTGTAGACTTGATGAACCAAGATTCAGTAATCAACCTCTCTCTTTCCGTCTACTTATATTACTTCAGAGAATTTTTACTCTCTCCCACCCACCCTATTGTGTGGTTGTCTATTAATGCACGCAGTGCAAATGCTGAGCCTTTTTCTAAATTACTTTATGTCTTGCGATCAACCATTCTTACCTTAACTAAGTTCTTACGTTCTAATAATCTAACTACCCACATCCCCTTCAGTGGTTTGATCAATGAAGTTGACCTAACTGAGAGTCATTGCAAGGCATTTAGTAAATTGTATAATTGTGTCCAATCGGGTCAACTTACAGGTTGATTTAACCTACAGAACTTGTCTCTGAGTGAGTTTCTAGGTTTAAATGTCGCCCTAATTCCTGCTTTATCAGAAATACTACGTAGGGTCTCATATGTCACCTCCTTATAGGGTAAAACTGCAGACGCCTTATATTCTCCCTTATTTATGTTGTCATCACTAGTTTCACAATTATTTTTATTTCGCTTCTGACCTCATTTGATATTCCTAATGAATTTTATGGGAAAGTCAGTTATTTAACAGTAACGGCTCCTCTAGCTGTTTTATTTCATCATTTAGCTCTTTTTTGGACTACTCAGTGCTACTGCTCAGTTTGTTAGGCACTCAACTTAGCCTGCCTTAACAGACAGATAACGGATAAGATGAATTGAAGATTAAACATCTATGAGCAGAATGCGTTGGCGTTTTTTAACGGCAGTGTGCAGTTAACCTTCTTCTATTGGTTTTATATAAAAAAAGCATGATAGCTAATTCTACTTGTTCATTTTCCGATTCAGATTTGAATTTTATTCCCTCTACTAATGAGTTTTTGTGTGTCAAGAAGCTGGAGATGTGTTTGGTTTTCAATACTGTGTGAAAGTGTCTTCCACATATATCCACCATATTTTCGGAGTAGGATTAAACGTATTAAGAGCAATATTCTCCCAGCTGTCCATAGAGATATCTGCTACGATTGGCGATAATGGCGATCCATACGATTGCTACACCTTCTGTTTGTCTATATATTTCACCTTGGAATTTAAAGATAGTAGATGTGAGGCATAACTGAATCCTAAAATAATTTCTTCAGTGGGTAGCTTCATCCTATAAGTGAGTTCAGGATCCGCAGTTAGTTCCTTTTTAACTGCTTCTAAGTCCATATTCATTGGTATGTTAGTATAAAGACTAGTTATATCAAAACTAACCATTCTTTCATCAGTCTCTAGTTGAATGTCATTTGCTCAATTTTTCATCCCATATGAATTAGTTAGTCCAGAGTTTGAACGATTTCTAATGGGGCATATTATTAGAGCTATGTGTTTTGATAATTTATAAGTAGGGGTATTCCCGAAATCTACTATTGGTCGTATGGGGTAATCTGGCTTATGTATTTTAACAGTAACATACATTCTACTAGCATTATTAATTTTAGGCATTAAATAAAACCACCTAGACTCACCAACTAACGGCTGCATTCTGCGTATTAGTTCCGCTGTAGATTTCTTAACCTTATTCATTATTGTATCTACAGGCTTCTGAATTTCTTCATATGGAACCATCTCAATATATTCAGTGACTGTCTTAATATAGTCAGATTTATCTAAAACCACTATGGAGTTTCCCATTTCAGTTTTTGCAGTGACAATATTTTTATCGTTTTTTAAACTAATTAAAGCTTCTCTTTTCGATTTTGTTAAGTTTGATTTTGTTTTTCTATTGATTTTTCAGGGTTCATGCACATTGTGCTCGAACCTCTTCTGCTGTTGTCTTATCTATTGAGCTTAGTGCTACGTCTATGTTAGAAATGACATCCTCTGGTTTTAATTTATTAACTGTTACGTTGAAATTTAGTCCTTTCTCAAATACTTTTATCTCACTAGAGCTTAGTTCTCTTGGTGAGAGATTGATCACCCATTTTATTCTGTCGATATAGGATGCAGTGTTGGCATCAATTTCATTTGTTGTGTTCTTTTCTTCCATTAGTTTGTTGAATTTTTTGATTTGTGTGGTTTTTGATTTTCTTAATGCTGATTCTCTAACTCTTTTGGATGTTTCAACAACAATTACATAATCTCTGCACATTTGAGTTTGTGTTTGAGTTTTTCAATTTCTTTTCGTATATTATTTAGTTTCACAGTAATTCGACGTATTTCTTCTCTTAGACATAATCAACTGAGATGTTCAGCTGCTGATGTAATTTTTTCTTGAAGTAATTGGAGTACGCAGACGTAAATATTTTCGAATTATATGATTTTGTACACATTGACTGTTGAAATTTCAATGATTTATGAATCTTGCTTCCGTTCGACAAAGTTGTGTAAGTTTGTTGATAAGCTTCTTAGTAGGAAGACCATATGTAAAATTGATATAGAAATATAACTTGTGCACTGCACTGTGGTAGAGTATAATTCCATTGTGGGTAAAATTTTATTTTGATAAAGTTTCACAGCGTGTTATATAGTAATATTTGCTGGTCAATAAACTGCACTCGAAATGTGGTCATCAGTAAATATAACTGTATAACACTTTGTGAGATTTTATCAAAATCAAATTTTACCCACAATGAAATTATAATCCACCGTCACAGTGTACACGTTCTATTCTTAAATCACAGTATATGATCTCGTTCATATCATGAATAGTAATGAACAAAGCTAACTATGTTGCTTTTCTTATAGCAAGCAGTTAACTGTATGTAATGGGAAGTCTTTCACTTCACTACATTAATCTGGCCAGTGTTTCTCAAGATGCTGTTCTTCCTCAAATGTTTTCTGTCTTCTTTTTTGACGTCCTCAACTCTGATGAAGCTGGTGTATTCTTTTAATTATGCTAATTATCTAACTAAGTATGTTTTTATGCTTGATTGTCAATCACATAGTTACAAAATAAACAAACGTATTTGAGAAATTAGTCAGTGATTTTATTCGGTTAGCAGTAAGAAGAATTCTTCCAAATATCAGGATTTTAATTTCTTTTTTCAGAAATAAATGTGACTTAAACGAACTGGTTAACCTCATGATCCTACTCTCATGGATAGCATTGTGGTTGAAACTAAGTTGAATGTTCAATACATTTGATCGTTTATTTTCCCTAATCTTTCTTGATACTCCCACATCGTGTTAATTTTAGGAAGGTATATCGTTAAACGTTCTACACGAAGGAGTTGAGACAGTGTCTAATCAGTCAGTTTCTACTGTTACAGTTTGTTAATTCACGTACTTCACTTATTCTCCGAGAACTAATCTGAACCAATAAGAAGACTCTAAAAGATCTAGATTTCACGTGTGCGTGATTTATGCCTAATATCATACAAACTCCAAGACTTACTGTCAGGCAGGAACCAACAAACTGGCTGAAGAAGAAGGCAGCGAAGACACAACTTCAAGTGAACAGAGAAAAGATCGGGTGATGAAGAAAACCAACCAACCATCCAACCAAAAACAGCACTGACAACCAGTACCAATCACCATCAATGGGAGAGATTTCACAGAGGGTACTTCATTCACTTATATAGGAGGCACGGCTTAAACAAAAGGCTGACAGAAAGAATAAATGCGTGAAAGCCCAAAGAAATACGAACGGCAAGATACGCCTTCATTAATGTGAAACCAGTTGGAAATTTTCTTCACTCAGCCAGCACAAAAAACAAGGCTCGGATTTTCAACACTGTGCAGATGCTCTATGTTCTCCACTTTCTAACATCCTAAATGCTTCTTTTACCGAAAATGTTGTACCTGTTGCATGGGAAGACATTAAAATAGTCCCTGTCCTTAAACTTGGTAATAGCACGTATGTGAATTTCAAAACCATTGCCATTACCTCCCGTTTCTAAAGCTTATGAAAAAACTACTATTTCTAAAACTTGAACCCTCCCTTAAAAGTTTTGAAGACCCCAAACAATTTGCATATAGACAGCAGCGCTTTAGACACTGCAGCCATCTTACACAACAGTATCGTCTCACTATTGAATAAAGGTGCCAAATACGTCCGCTTCATGTTTCTCGACTTCACTTCTGCTTTCGACTCTGTACCTAGATGTCTCTTGCTAAATAAGCTCTCGATGACACAAACTGAGTCCTGGGTCACCAACTGGTTGCATTCC